AGCATGTTAATTGTCTTTTTTTTTTTTTTTATGAACTTTAGTATAAAGAAGTTATATTAAATTTTCACTAATTTAAAGTTGAGCTGTATCAAACTTTTTAAAAATGAAATTTTTCTAATGTTTTTTTTTTTATTTGAATCAATAAGTCGTTGATATATGTTGATTGCTTTTTTTTTTTCTTTTTTTTTTTTTGTATAGATGCCTTATCTTCTTCTTCTTCTTTTTCCAAATGAGGACGAATTTTAGGGGAAGAAGAAAATATTACAATTATTTCAATAGGGACTTGAATCTTGACATAGACCAAGATATCTAATACACATTGCTAGCCGACTAGGAGCTGGTAATGCGTATACATGCCTTATTTGAAAAAAAAAAAAAAAAGTACTTTTATTACAATTTACCTACAAGTTTAAGGATTAGAGCAAAAATGATATTCTAACTATAAAACAAGGTCTTTACTTTCAAAATACACATCAAATTACGCCTAAAGGTTTAGCTGTACACTCCATATATTATTGCCACACAGCTTCATTCCAACTTCAATTGCAGCTTCAAAGAAATATTGTAATGTTTTAGATATTTTAGTGATTAAGAGATTAAATTTTCATATAAAAAATTTTAAATTTAAATTCTAAGATGGATGGGGAAAATGGTTTGGTAAGAGATGGATAAGAAAAAATGGTTTGATAAAAAATAGAATATCTCCTGTAATATAACTTATCATATGATATATAAAAAAAGAAAAATTGCAATTGCCTTTAATAGGAACTAAATCAGCAGCTAAAGATTTTATGTTTAAAAAAAAAAAATCAAAATAACAAATGGGTCCCACCCCACAAGTCCTCACTCTCACACTATATATTCCTTGCAATACTTTGAGGTTGGTAAAACCAGGTTAGTCGGGCAGAATTGCATGTGTTAAGGTATTATCTACTATCATCATTTTTCTCATCTTTCACTTTTGTTCAATGAAGTACCTGTCTAATGGCTATGATTAAGGACCATACTGAGACATTCGAAAATTTCATGATTTTCGAAATGTTTCACCTTTGAGAGTGCTACTTTCATAAATAAATTGTTTTTTTTTTCCCCAATCTATTTTTTCTTTTCGAAAGAACCATATGTATAATTGTTAATCAATTTTCTCATCTTTTTGGTTGGTGCATACAAGGTTGTTTTGCTAGAATCTATCGAATTAAGCACACATGATAATGGGTAAAGAAATAATCTTGTACTTAATTAGTTTCAAGTTTTGCAGCATGGATCGGGCTATGGGGAACAACCGCGATTACAAATATTATGATTTTATGAAGGTAGGAGGAGAATCCCGGGATTGGAATGGTTTCATGGCGTTCACTCGCGACAACAATTTTTATAATTTCATGGGAGTAGAAGAAACATCCAGTGGTTCAAATAACATTCGAGCCAATCGAGACTTCAAGTATTATGATTTCATGGGGGTCGGAGGAGCATCTGCTGGTTCAAGTACTTTGAAGCAATGGTCTTCGGAGAAAAAATATTGAAATCTGACCATATATATGAAATAAAAGTGGTAGCATACTAGCAATATATAAAAGTGGTAGCATACTAGCAATATATAATGAATAATGGCCTTGGAATAAAAATAGTTTGATGTTGTGCTTCGGTGAAAGAAAAAACTATTGTGCTCCCTTATGTTGAAGTTTTCCTTTCTCCGAGCGATATGAATCATGTGTTTGGTTATAACATGTTTTGCCCAAACTATATTTGCGTTAGAATTAGATGATTGGATGTTTTTGAAAAAATTATAATTGGCAATTTAAAAATGAAAAATCATTATCAAATTTTTTGTACAATGCGAGATTCAGTAAAATCTACATAGATTTGCACAAGTTTAAAGGGGATGAAAGAGGGATTTTCACCTTTACAAGGTGGGTGGTGGCGACTATGATAAACATGAATATAATCAGATTTAATAAAAATTGTGTAAATGTGAGGTTTAATTTTAAAATACTAGATATGATAAAATCCATTATGATTCACCTTGAGTTGGGAGGAAGTTGGAGAGGGACTTTTCTTCTTAGCAAGGTGGGTGGCGATGGCTTCAGTCAACACTAATGTAATGACTTGAAATGAGGATAATGTGTGTCTTAATTTTGGAATACAAGATATGGTAAAATCCACCAAGATTCACTCTTGACGGAAGAGGGAGTAGAAAAAGGATTTTCTTCTTTGCAATGTGGGTGGTCGTAGCTGATTTAATTCTGAAAAACAAGATATGGTAATCCATTGAATTTTACCCTCGAGTTGAATGGAGTGGGCGTGGAATTTTCTTCTTTCCAAGGTGGATGGTCATAGGCTTCGTAGTTAGTTTAATTTTGAAATACAAAATATGATAAATTCATTGAATTTCATTTGTGAGTTAAGAGGACAGTGAAGAACTGTTAAAGTGTGGTTATGTTTTAGTTAGCCATATCATCAAGGGACAGATAACCTATATTAACTATTTAGGTAAGTTTGGTTGTTTGTGTTAAAACTTGCATTTAATTTTTATTAAAAAATTTAAAATAAAAGGATAATAAAACTAAATTTTTAAGAGTGAAAAAGTACAAAAAATGATGTGTAATTTATTTTGCGTAAACTGTATATCTTTTTTTTTGAAACGTGCGTAAACTTTATATTTTATAATTATTAATGAAAGGTAAATCTCTTAATATTAGGTTGATTTTTCCTCTATTAATGATTATAAAATATGCAATGCTTATAAAATTAATTTGTAAAACTACAAATTAACACTAACAATTAATTAATATGGACAGTCAATGACCTAAATAATTCAATGGTCATCTCTTTTCGTTAGAAATAAGAGATTCTGAATTTAAATTGTATGACATGCGAATGAGGTAGAATAAAAGATGAGAGGTGATTATCTCTCATTGTGTAAGCAAGATGAAATATATATATATATAGACAAATAAAATGAGGAGGATAACATTTTTCTTTTCGGCACCCTTCTCAATCCTTAGGGTGTGTTTGGTTCATCCTCAATTTCCTGGGAAGCCAAGCCAAGTTTTAAGCTGGCCTTTTTGGGTTTCAACATTAAAATATGTCCCTGAAAAATGTCATTAATATAAGTAATAATTATAAAAGAAGTTTTGTTGTCTTGGCTTCTTGGGAAAAAATTTCCTGGAAAGGAAGAACCAAACACACCTTAAAACTTTATTAATTAGGGTGATTAGTGCATTTAGACCCAAACACCCCCCCAAATTCACAACAACTAAAATAAACCCCTACGTTGGGCCATGGTTATTGCAACATATAAACATGTTAAGGCCATAAAAATAAGTGTGATTAGTTTGACCAATTTTACCTATTTGTAATTAATTAGAGTAATTGAAAACATTAGATTAGAGAGGCTGTTAAATACTAAATTTTAATTGTTCTATTAACTATTTGTTCGATTGCTATGATATCAGTTATTTTTAACAATTAAATAAAACATAAATGTAATATTTTTGTCACTTTAACATATTTACGTATAACAATAAGAGTACCCCGAATACTACTGTTTAGAAAATATTAAACAAATGTTCAAAAAAAAAAAGCATTAAACAAATAATGGACAAATAAACGGTGAAGAATCATATGATGGGCGGGGAGGTTGTGGCAATTGCATTGGCCAGAAAACATTAAACAAATGTTCGTAAAACAACCAATAAACAAATAACGAAGAAATAGACGATGAGAATCATAAGATGGGCGGTGAGGTTGTGGAAATTGCATTGGCCAAAGTCAAAGATGGTGATGCTTTGTCATTATGGTGGTTTACGTAACCCGAAAGGAGTCACAAATGGCATGTAATTACTGTACTATTCCTTTATTAGTACTACTTTAATAAATATTGAATTTTTCCCAAGTAAGGGTACAGTATGCACCAGGCCTTCGGGAATGGTATCTTGTCATTTTGTGGTATACTTCTCTGTTTTTTTTGTGGGTTGGAACCCATCCTTAATAAATTGTTCAAAAAAAAAAGATACAATATAATTATTTTATTTTTTAATATTAATTAATATTAAAAAATATAAAAATTATTATTAATTTTATTATTAATATTATGTAAATTATTTTAATTAGATAATTATTTAAATAAATATTAATTTTTATTTTTTAAATATTAATTAATATAAAAAAATATAATAATTACACAACTTATTTATACTTCCATGGCCAGGAATAAAAACAGTGTAAAATCTCAGCTGTTTTGCCCCAAGCCCCCAACTTTCCCCATCCGTAATT